AAATACCGTGGCTCCCCGAAGCTGTTCAAGCAGGTCATCGATTTGTGGTATTGGGTATTTGTTCTTGATTCTCTGCTTGTTGAGAGCTCCGTAATCGATGCATTGCGGAGGCTTCCGTCCGGTTTCGGTGTGAAGAGTACTGGGGCACCGTATGGCGAAGTGGATGGTCGGATGAGTCCTTTTGCGAGGAGATATTCGATCTGTTTTTTCATGTCAGCTAGCACCGTGGGGCTGAGCCGATATGGTGCTCGGAAGGTCGGCTTCGAACCTGGTTCTTCTACGATCTCGTGTTGGTGCGTTCGGTATGGCGGCAGCTCGTTCATAAGGTCGTCAGGAAGAATGTCTTGGAACTCCTTCAGTAATTCCTTCATTTTTTGTGGAGGTTCCGAGGTTTTCTCCCCGTCGTTTTCCACCTCTGTTGCTATCGCCAGGAACCCGGTGTCGGTTCGCTTTACGTCCATCTTGAATCGTGCGAGTGTCTCCACTGGGATATCTCCTGTATCGTCCCAGTTGGGTAGCTGGACTCTCTTTCCATTGTTGTAGATGCTTGCGGTATGATTTACCTAGTTGATCTCAGGGTTGAATCTTTTTAGGAATTCTCGCCCGAAGTTCAAGTCAAGCCCTCTTATGTTGGTGATGGGGAGTGCAGTTTTCCTGCGCAGTGTTCCGATTTGTAGGTGTAATACTGCTTCGCCATGTACTGGTAACTTGCTGCCGTCCACCATCGTTGCAGAGAATACTGAAGGCTTGTACTCTTCCCGAAGTCGATCGATTACTGCCTTGTCGCAAACGGTGTGTGATGCCTCGTTGTCCACGAGTGCTGGGAGGCGTCGTTCTTTGCAGATGACCTCGAGCACGAGGGGCGGGCTTTGCTCGGAGTACCCAAAGATAGTTTCGTTAAAAGGATCATAGGGTACATCCCAATATTCTGTACACGCAATTTTCTTGCTATCTGCTCGTGGGTTAGCAGCTGGCCGAGGCTACTTGGAAAAGGTCTCTCCCTTAGAAACCTGAGCTTTCTTGACGACTGTGTGTGTCGTTGATGCCGAATTTGCTGAGCTGGATGCATCCAAAGGAGGAGTTCGGGGTTTTTGCAGCTTCTTGTAGACCCCCAGCTTCCTCTTGAGCTGCTTGCGCTCCACCGACGTCTTCCCTGGGGAACGGGTAGTCGTTGTGGGCTGGTGTCGGGAGAGGACGTTGACTCCGTGGAAAAGTCGGCTTCTTTCCCATTCCTTAATTTTGTCCCCAAGTTTTCCGGTACCGGTATGATCTCCACAAGTTGCTGCTTCCTCTAGAGTCCCTCCCAAAATTTCTCCAAGGCTGTAGCCCCCCGAGAATCATAAGTTTTCATTAAAGCATCTTTATAAGATAACTTCAACGAATCCTCATAATTGCTTGGGTCTTCTCGGAGTTTCCCCGTCTCAGCAGAGCCCTTTTTTGCGGAGTCAGATCTCTTCTCAGCGATTTTCACTGGCGAAGTCTGGTCCTGGGGTGGAGATTTTTCCGCATCATTTCCTCTCGCTCGCGTCGAATTAGCTTCGTTGAAGTTGATTTTCTTGGAATCCCGCGGCCGCTTTCAGATCTTTTATTTTTTGCCAGCTAGATCCGCAATCACTGGCGAATTCCGTTTTTTTTCTTCTGATAGGCTGAAAAAATTCCGCCACTGTTGCATGCCCGATACTCTGCTCGTGCGGCTTTCATTTTGTTGCAGGCGAAGATTCGATGGCTCGGCACCCCGCAAAAATCACACTTGTAGTTGGTGTTTTTCGGACGTGACCGCCCGTCGAACCTGTCGATTTCCATCGGGTCGGCGAACGTGGGGTGAGCCGAGCGGTCGCCCTGTCGCGTACTGCTGACGCGCGCCCATCGTGTTCTGGCGTTGACCATGTCAAACCGCTCTGCTGCCGAAACGACGTCACTGTAGCTCGCGTAATTTGTCGCTGCTACCTGTCGTTTGACTTCGGTCTTTAGGCCGGCGAGATACGACTGTACGTTTTTCCCTTCGGTCAGGTCAGGAATGCGGTTATAAAATTCCTCCATCTGTTGCGTGTACTGCGCTACACTCCTGAACTGTCGATGGCGATGATTTTTTTCCTCGGCGAGGAAACCCGAATTTATCGGCTCGAAGCGTTTAAGCAGGTCGGTGCGGAACTGCTGCGACGTGGCTTCGCCGTGTATGAAGGTGCTGTTACCGCCGATCCACTCGAGTGCCGGTCCTCACATCAGTGTTGCCGCGAGTCGTACGCGTTGACCGTCCCAGACTGGTGAGCTCAATCCGACGGCTGCGAAGTGGATCTCCATGCCGGCGATCCATCTGCGGGCGTCGGAATTCGATTCCTCGGATCGAACGGCTCAGGTGGGCGCGGTTTCGGAGCCTCAAGAAACTGCTGCGGCTGCTGCGCCGTCAACGTTATCGTGTCGTGCTGCGCGCCAGCGAGTCGAGTTACTCGCTCGAACTCGTTTCGCCAAGCTTCGCGATTGGCTCGCGATGCTCGCGAAAAGCAGAAGGGCGGCGATGCTCGCGAAGAATAGAAGGGCGGTGATGCTCGCGAAGAGCTGCTGGGTAACCTTAGCGTTGTCGAAGTTCGCCATCCTGTTCAAAACACGCGCGAAGGGGTTAATAAAAAAAACGCGGAGCTGGTGCTTACCAGATTCGGTGCCGAATTAGTCGCCCCCGGCGGTTTTTCGAAGCAGGTTTTCCCGCTGCTTCTGCTTAGCTGAGCGCGGCTGAGTGAGAAAAGCTCTGATTACCAAGTGTGACAAGATCGAATGTGTCGAGGAAAAGTTGCACTATCGATTGATACAATGCGCATTTATACTTCCGAAGTACATCAGGTAACCAGGGAATAGACCAAAGGGAATAGACCCTTCTACAAATAAAATCACCCTGCGTATAGCCACACGAGGCTATTGGCTTTTAGGGATTGCAGCAATATTACGCTAGATATAGCGCGCCTGTACATCCCGAGCCTGGTCGGTGATATAATAATAATGATAGGATAACCCAAAGGATAATGAGAAAGAAGGAATAGGAAACCAAATGGGATGAGATAAAGATGAAAGGAATTAGAATAATTAGAAGAATGAGGTAGAGGAAAAATATGGAAATAAGAAAGAAGTGTAACCGGGTCGTACTCTCACACTTTCCGTCGTCTGCAGACCCCTCGCTCTTTGTTCCTTCTGGTCAGACCCCGTTCTGCATCCATGTCTACTTAGATGACCCGGTCTTTGCTACAGCAGACAGAGATGCACTGCCTCCATGAAGGCTGAGCTGCTGAGGAGACACACCTGCACTGACCTCGGAGAGGTGCGCCGCTACCTTGGCCTGCAGATCTCCAGGGACAAAGCAACGCGCACCATCACTCTTATACAGTCACATTTGGTGCGCCAGGTCCTTCAGAGGTTCGGCCTTCAGTTCTCCTCTATACAGCCCACGCCTCTGTCAGTAGATCACAGACTCTTGGCTCCAGTCCCTGAGGAGCCTGTAGAACCTAGTGATCCATATGCAGAGCTGGTGGGTTGCCTCATGTACCTGATGACTTGCACTCGTCTAGATCTCGCATACCCTCTCAGCATCCTGGCTCACTTCGTAGCTACAGCACTGGTCGGCCACTAAGGGGGTTTTGCGTTATCTAGCAAGTACATCGGGCATGGGGTTAGTGCTAGGAGGACGCTGACTAGTGGTCCTGACAGGGCACACAGACGCTTCGTGGGCGGACGACGCTGAGACACTCAGGTCCTCCCAGGGCTACTGCTTTAACCTTGGTGCAGGGGCTATCTCGTGGACGTCCACCCACTCGTCGTCTGTTGCACAGTCTAGCTGTGAGGCTGAGATCTATGCTGGTGCCATGGCGGCACTGGAGCTCCGCTGGCTGACCTTTTTGCTCACAGACTTAGGTGAGCAGCCTAGCTCTGCCCTGGTTCTGTTCGCTGACAACAAGGCCATGATCCTTCCGTGTTAGGAGCCTTGACTTGAGGGTTGAGCGAAGCACATCCAGCTGCGGTACTTCTTCCTGCGCGAGCTACAGCAGCGCCACGAGGCTCGCGTAGTTCACTTGGCCTCCGGTGCCAACATAGCTGATATCTTTACTAAGACGCTTGCGCCTAAAGATCATTAGCGGCACTATGTACAGCTAGGTCTAGTTCCTGTAGTTTCACACTTGCTAGGGCCTTGATTGTGTACTACTCTTTTTATGTTCTCCTAACTGGCCTTGTGGCCTGTACTCCATTGGCAGGACTAGTGGTGCCGCCGTGGTTTGCTCTTGTCTTGTTTGTACTCTCCTGACTGGTCTTCAGGCCCTTGCCTCAGATGTTGGACTTGTAGTGCCACCCTGAGTTGTGTGTCTCTTGCCTGGCACTACCCCTTGTCTAGCCTAGGGGTGTGTCAATATGTTTTTATAGGCTAGTTAGGTGTATGCCTTTAGAGAGTACAACCCCCTAGGTAAAGCCATTATGTACAGTACTTTCTAACCTATCTCGCTACTCTGAGACACGCTTCTAGTTGGAGGAGCTTTAACGAGCTCACCTACCAACCGCAATCCAACCCCCTATTTTGCGGGGTCGTCTTCCGATATAAACAGACTAATCTACGGAAGACTAAGCGGGCAAGATCGAGGTTATGATACCAGCTGTTATGAATTAATCAGAGTAATAACAGGTAGTGTAATTAAGGAGTCGTGATTCAAGAGTGTCGATGCAAATGAGGGCCTATGCATTTATAGGCATGAACAGGGCTAGTCGAGAACCACGCGAACAGGTTGGGGCGGTCCAGTTGGCGAAAGCTATGGAAGCGTTACGCGTTTAGGTTTGGGTTCGTAAAGTGGTTCGAGACCAATGAAGTTGGCCGAGCCTGGACTTCAGAGAGTCGAGGGCGTACGCTCTGTAGTCTAGCCCAGTAAGGAAATAGCCTTTTCCCTGCACCCTACGTAGAATGCATCTACATGCAATACAGAAGTCGATACTGTGTAAAATAATTGCACAAGGGTCTTAGTAATTTCCATCCGCGTTAATGTCCACCCTAGAAATGTTCTAGGTATTTCTAGGAAGTTCATGGGGTCCGGTATATCCGGGAGATTACGGTACATTTTAAAAAAAAATACTGTACAAAAAAGGTTGAGCTAGTCAATTACAATGCTGCTGCTGCTGCTACTGCTGGTGGTAGTGGGGGGGAGAAGGCCACCTCGCCTCCTCTTGAATGTATCCAGGATCTGATTGATCTGCCTCTCAAGCTGCTCCACCTTCTCTATAGTGAACTGAGAGGGCACCTTATCTCGAGGCACACTGAGGTATGGAATGATCCGATATAAGATGTCCTTGTACTGTTTCAGTCGCTCCCACTGCTCCGGCACCAAGAACTGCAGCTGATGTTCGACCAGAACACAGGTGGCATTGGAGGAAATTTCACAAAGAAAGGTATGAAAATCATATCTCATGACACCAGGAAAAAAACGAATCATGAACAGATCTCATATTTTGCTGTTCCCCCTCTCTCCCTCACCTACTGCCTGCCTGTCTTCCTCACCTGCTGCCAGTCAAACATATTTGCATATGGTATTATAGGCTAGATAGGTGCATGCTCTTAGAGAGTACAACTCACTAGCACAAAGTCACCCTGTACCCTCCGTTCTAGTCAATGCGTTATTCTGAGACCGCCTCCCTCCTCACCTGTTGGCTCTTCAGAACTAGGAAGATGTGAATTTCCTTCAAGTCCTCAAGGTGGCTCGCCGTGAGGCTTTGCAGCTGGTGGGGGGGGGGGGGGAGGGGGGGGTACGATGCAGCACACAGCGGACATCAAGAGAGCATTCACATGAGAGCACAGAGGTGAGAGCACAGAGGTGAGAGCACAGAGGTGAGAGCACAGAGGTGAGAGCACAGAGGTGAGAGCACAGAGGTGAAAGCACAGACCGGAGATCATAAAAACAGAGCACATGAGAGCAGAGCACATGAGAGCAGAGCACACAGATGAGAGTACAGAAACACACACACATGCCGCATGTGGAACACACGAAGCAGACACAACAAAGAAACCACAGAACCCCATGCATGCAGCTTATGAAATCCAGACACGTAACGATAAGCCAACCACAGTGCAGCAAACGCATGCAGTAGAGGCGTGCAGCAGAGGCGGTTGGATGTGTGGGCAGAAATGGGAAGCCACGCACCCTTTGCCACACAACGCCTGAAATCCCTCCCTGCTGCGTGGCCGTTGACTGTAGACTCGATTCTTGCTGCTGCTGCTGCGGAAAAATTGTGCAGGCTGTTGAAAAAATAAGAAGGGGGGGGGGAGGGGGAGGGAGCGAGAGGGGAAGAGAGAGAGGGTGGGGGAGGTAATGGTGAGAGAGGAAGAGATGTGTATCCGATTGACCGCTGTGACCTGGATGCTGCTGCTGCCACTAGCTCACTGGGATCCAGGAGTGAGAGAGGGGGGAAGAGCCGGAGGGAGGGATGTAGAGGGGGACGGCAAAGGGGGGACGGAAAAACCACATCAAGGAAAGGGACGGAAAGGGCCTTTACTGTGAGTGCAAGCGAGCCATGCATGCATGCAACAGACATCGCAGCCGAAACATATCATGATATCACATGGCTGCAGCCCATCCCATATCCCATATCACATAGAGGCCGCAGCACAGTCACTCCTTACAACCCATCCCTTACCACCGATCCCTTACAGCCCATCCCTGACAGCCCATCCCTTACATTCGCCAGCAGCCACCTCTGCAGTGATAACAGACCCTGACGACGTCTGCGAGCTCGTCCCCCCTGCCTGGGCGGGCGGCAAGTGACGGCCCTTGAGGTACAGCATCTTCCGGGAAATGCGCCACACGTAATCGTCCTGGTGGCCCGCAGACAGAAAGAGGATGAAAGGCCTATTTTTGAGGCGCCTCAAAAATGAAAGGCGGGGGACACAATGGTGCTGCTGACGCCTGGGAGGGTGCTGGTCCCCCCTGCAGCCTGCGCCTGCAGCAAGTGACAGCCCTTGAGGTGCAGCATCTTCCGAGAGATGCGCCACATGTAGTCGTCCTGGTGGCCCAGAAACAAGGGGGGTGTGTGGGGGAGGGAGGGGGGAGGAGGTCGGAGGGAGGGGGGAGAAGGGGGGAGGGAGTGGGGAGGAGGGGGAAGGGAGGGGGGGGCGGGGTGTGGAAATGTGGGAAAATCGTTTTGAAGCATGGAAAGGGGCTTGTTACTGCCTGAATCCTGCGCTTCATGTGGCCCTTGCTCTTGACGTACGCGCCACAGGTAGTCGTCCTGGTTCAAGGAACTGGGGGGAGGGGAAAAAAGGGGCGGTGGGTTTGCGGGGAGGGGGGGTAGCACATGGGAGGGAAAAAATCGGACGGAGGTGACATGAAGGAAGAGAAGGGCAACAGCTACAATTGGCAGGTTGCGGAAACGTGCAACCATAAGTGGGCGCTCGGTTGCCCGCTGCTCGGTTGCCTGCCTGTCTGCTGCGTGAGCTTGCAATGGGGGCTCCGACAGCCGGTTTGTCGTAAATGCGCGAGTGTTGGGTCAGGTCGGTTGTACTTGGCTGGAGGCCGTTGAGAAGACATGCTGCTCGAACAACTCAGCCAGGCGGTGCAGCTCGCCGGTGTCACGCAGCGATGTGAACTTCTGAAGGCTCTCCATGCTGCGCGGTACGATCATGCACAGTGAAACGGACAGGGTACAGAGTCAAAGAAAACAGAGGTAGTGGGTATGAGGGGCCTCAAAGCTGGTCCATGCCGCTTTATTCCACCATGCATTTCATACCGTGCCGGGCACCGATGTGAACTTCTGAAGGCTCTCCATGCTGCCTGGTGGAATCAAGAGGCATAGAATAACCAGGGCTGATTAAAAAAAAGCAGAATAACATGGGCCGTGGGCTGAATTCAGCCCATGGGAGTGCTTTTGAGGCGCCTCAAAAACAGTCTCAGTTCGATGGGAGTTTCTGCAGGTTCTCCACTCCATGCTGCATGGACAGCCGAAACACAGCAGAACGAGCAAACAGAGATTAGGGTAACTCTTAAGCGCCTCAATACTCGTTCACCTCGGACGCCAATGCAAACTCTTGCGGGCTCTCCAAGCTGCACGGTGGACTAAAAAGGGCGATAAAAAAGGGCAAGTAAAAATGGGAACTAAAAAGAGGAATGAGAAACACCAGTGGGTTAAGTTGAGCCGACCAGAACGTCTGCAGGGTCTCCGTGCTGCACTATCCTCTCCGGAATCGCTGCTGCTGAGGCGACATGATTCTAACAACCCCATCCCAAAATTCCAGGATCAGAAATACGGAGTAGGTATACAGTAGGTATGGCATAGGTACGTCTGCTACGGAGTAGCCTTGCTATACGAACAACTATACCTACAATATAGGAGAGGTCCACATTTTTGTGATGCCACGACTCATTGCTCTCAGATAAACCTAGGTCAATTGCACGACGCGACGCACATGCGCTTCACCAGGATCTGCCGCTTCTCCCGTGGAAGCCTCGTGCGCCAGTCGGGATCCGCCAACGGCGCTGCTTGCTGGCGCATGCCGCCGCCCCCGCCGCCAGCGCCGCTCCAGTCGCCTTCCATAATCACCCGTAAACGACGTGCGCTGGTATGAGTTTCACGAGTTTGTGCAATAAGCCAACGTGCAGTGAGCCACCAAAGCCACCCGCTAATGAATAGACTTCAAAAGGCCCTTTGGGCAGCAGAAAGCCAACCCATAGAAGTCAGATTTGGACCACGCCCAAGTCATGAGCTAACGAACAGACCGAAGCGCCCACGAAAAATTCACCTGCCAACTGCGTGCAATAGCTCTGACTAAGGGCAAGCTAGACCGCGTGTCAGGCATTTGGTACAGGTATGCCGAGCTGACCCGGGGTACAGGTCGAACTAACGGCCACTGCGCGACCCTTGACGCCAGGAGCACTGAAAGTGTCGCCAGGTTGCACTAGCGAGGTCGCGTGCGATACAAGTGACTGCCACTGTGAATGCTTACTGGCTCGGCTTGTTTCGCGGCAGTTGGACTTTGAATACATGCGAGGCTAAAATTGACGTGTAGACGCGATGTTTACCGGTTTCTGAGAACGGAAAATGTTGCCGCGTGCTTCGAACTACCCTGACACCAGGGCAGTATGTGTTTCCAGGTGTCAGGTAAGGCTGTACCGACCGTCTGACACGCGGTCTACCTTCGCCCTAACCATGTTCGCTCAACACGTTTTCCACCCAGTTGAGTGAATCAGAAACAATCCACGTGGACCGTGTCGCGAGTGCCGGTTTTGAACAAGCTATCCCATCATCGCACTGAAGACTACTACAACGCGCAGACCATGACCTAAATCTGCAACCGAGCTGAACCGAAAAACAACGAATTTTTTTTTGCACTTACTACTACACCCTCAGACAAAAGTCAATGCGGGTCAAGCACGCAGCTCCGAGCGGGATTAGCAAAGCCGCGTCGATTAGGGATGTATCTACAGTTCCAATATTTTTTAGTGGTCAAAATTTTTTTTTAGGGGCCCCGTTCGAAAGTTTTTTAGTGGTAAACAATGGTGTGGTAAGTTTCTGTGTGTAATAATCAAGAAACTACGTAGTACAGTATGGGTGGGGGAAGGGGGGGGGGGGGGCGGGGGGGGGGGGGGGGGGTCGGAAACCCGTGAACACACCAGGGACATCGGTTGTGTGGAACGCACCTGTTCCGACGGCCACCACACCTCACCGTATTTTATCGTTTTAAAAACCTCAGCACCGTGTTTAACCCCTTGTGCATAAAAGAACTGACAAGTCCGACCTCGGGGACTCCCTCGGCGAAAAGTTGTGGCTGTAGAGTTGCTGCGATAAGAACGAGTATGATGGCCGCCACCTTAATCAGTTAGTCTATCTATAAAAGACTAGTCCTAAATCTTTGATCCATGCTGCACCGCATCTGGCATCACATTTCCTAAAAGCTTCCTCTCCCTCCATCATCTCTCCGCCTCGCTTCCCTGTATGCCTTGTACCCCAACCCATCAGCAGCAGCAGCAGCATGAGGCGGGGTAAGAGCTCTTTCACATCGAGTAACAGTAGCCACCACAGGACGCATAACGTCCCCCCCACACTCTTCCTCCTCCTCGTCCCACTCACTCCCTTCCTCCACCACCCTACAGCCCCCCTTCAACCGCTCCATATAATCCCCCGCTCCATACGCCCCTCCTCCATTCCTGTACTCCCTATAAAGCTCCCCACCACCAGCAAAGCACCCGTTGTTGGCACTATCCCCACCAGGATACTCCCCTGACGGCCCACCACTGCCTCCATAATACCCCGCCTGCCCCGCTTGCATGTGCTCGTCACGTGCCCCCTCGAGTGGCATGTCCCTTGAATCAACATAGTCGCCACTAACGAGGCTGTCGAGATTTTGGGACCTGGAGGGAGAGAAGGGGGTGAGGAATGGGCCTTTTTTTTTATAAAGGAGAAACAAAGAAAATAACAAGAGCAATCAGCGCGAGAGCCTTGCTCTCCCGCCTTTAACCAAGCACCCAGCACGCACCCAGGCAAGTAAAGCAAGCAAATGAGTATCCCTTGAGATTCAGCAAACTGGGGGGCTTCACTCTCTCCCCTGCAGCCAGCACTCGAGCCAGTCGGCGATCATGGAGCGCACTGCAACATTGTCTGCAATGTTGCCCGTCAGCGCCTTACTCTCCAGCCGTTAAGGGAAGCTAGCTAGCAATCAGTAGGGAGAGCAAGCAAACAAAGCCCCAACTCACTCTCTCCTCTGCAGCCGGTGCTCCAGCCACTCGGCGATCATGGAGCGCACGGCAATGTTGTCCGTCAGCGCCTTGCTCTCCAGCCGCCTGCCCGTCTTGGGCGACGTGTTGTGCACGCGCAGCCACTGCTCGATGGCCTCGCGCTCGTACGTGTGGCCGTCCGCTGCGAGAACCGGGTTTTCCATGATGCCCTGCGGGTGAAGGACGGGGGGGGAGGGTGGGGTGAAGGGTGAAGGGAGGAGATGGTGGGTATGAACGAGTGGTACAAGTGCACCCACTGCTCTATGGCCTCGCACTCGTGTGCGTGTCCGTCTGCCGCCAGCACTGGGTTCTCCATGATGCCCTGCAAGGGACGGCCGGGGGGAGGGGGGGGAGAGCGGAGTGAGTGGGTGATAGGAGCGTGTTGTGTTGTGCACGCGCAGCCACTGCGCTATGGCCTCGCGCTCATAGGTGCCGGTCTGCTGCAAGAACGGGATTCTCCATTATGCCCTGCATGCAAAGAACAGGGAAAGAAGTGGGGGGTGGGGGAGAACGGAGGGGGAGTGGCTAATATGGACGTGTTGTGCACGCGCAGCCACTGCTCTATGGCCTCACGCTCGTATGTGTGCCCATCTGCTGCAAGAACGGGATTCTCCATGACGGCCTGTATGTAGACGGCGAGGGAAGAGGAGGGCGGGAGTTGCTCATATGAATGTGTGGTGCACGCACAGCCTGTGCTGCGTGGCTCTTGAGAGTTCTCAAAAGCCACTGCTGCGTGTCCTCGCGTTCGTATGTGTGTGTGCCCTGGCAGCAGAGCACAGGTCCTCCTGGGTGCCCTCCTGCCAGCAGGGAATGCCGCTTCAGTATCAGCCCTCCATGATGCTCTGTTGGGAATGAGATGGAGGGAGGGAGCCATCAGAACTCATACCGTCGCACAATCCCCAAGGCAAGTACCATGGTGATGGGGCATCGAAACTCGTACCATGGTGATGGGGCATCGAAACTCGTACCATGGTGATGGGGCATCGAAACTCGTTGGGCACGAAGTCACGGTAGTTGTCCATGCGGTCTGCCCTCTCCAGCGCCACAGCCGCGTCCACGTAGGGGCGCAGCTCCTCCACCACCGCCATCACCTGCCCGGTCGGTCAGGGAGTGGAGTGACAAGGAGTGAAAAGGAGTGAAGGAATGAAGGAATGAAGGGGTAGCAGAACGTCTGTCAGCCGCAGCCACATAGGGGCGCAGCTCCTCCACCACCGCCATCACCTGGTGGGCAGGGAGTGAGGGAATGATAAGGTTGGAATGCAGTTGTGGCACCTCGAAATTCACGGTAGTCATACATGTGCTCGGCCCTCTCCCGCCACAGCTGCATCCACATAGGGGCGCAGCTCCTCCACCACCGCCATCACCTGGTGGGCAGGGAGTGAGGGAGTGATAAGTTTGGAATGCAGTTGTGAAGAATGCAACGAATTGCGAAGGCTGCAGCATGCCAAGGAAAGGAAAGTTACGTCTGCAGTTGGGGCGCCTCAAACGCCACAGCAGCATGTACAACGATGCGCAGCTCCTCCCCCATCACCATCCCCTGCTTGCTCGCATCGCACGGCCAAGATATGAGAACTGAACAGAGTAGACTGCAGAAGGCGTGAAAGAGGAATGCTGGTCGGCAGAGAGCTATGGGAAAAGAATTCTACTCTTCTACCCACCCTGTCTCAGCTCCACCCACCACCCAGACCACCAACCCAACCACCACCCCCACCACCACCCCCACCACCACCTCATCACCTGCTTCCTCGGGTCCAGCCGCTCCTTCCGAGAGAGCAACTGAGGGCAGACTGGGCACCTGAGCATAACCAGCTAGGACCTGTAGCTCGCTCTCTCTCACCTGCTTGCTCAGGTCCGGCCGCGCCTTCCTCTTGTAATGCGCCATCTGCCGCACCAGCTGCACCAGCTGCAGTGCGACACGTGGCGGCCAGCACCCCGCGGACGGGTCCAGCAGCTCCCCAAGCGCATCCACATCCCCGCCCTCCTCACACTCCTCCAAGGCCTCCAACTCTCGATCCCTCTTTCCCCTCTCCCCAGACGTCTCATTGATCCCTATCAGCATGTCCAGCATGACCATCCCCAGGGAGTAGATGTCGGACTCGCGGGAGAACTGCCCCGTGCGCAGGAAGTGCGGGTCCACGTAGCCGAAGGTGCCCACGGCCATGGACTGCTGCATGAAGGAGCGGCCGTTGTCCATGCCCACTAGGAAGCGAGCTAGTCCCACGTCTCCCAGTTTAGCCACAAAGTTGTTGTCCAGCAGCACGTTGGCTGGCTTGAGGTCCAGATGCACGATTGCTGGAACCCTACAGGGACCAAGGGAAGAGGGGTTCCAGAGGACAAGAGGAGAGAGAGGTGGAGGTGGTTGAGGCGTTGGGGAAGAGGGAGGGAGGAATGGCACGTGCCCAAGGTGGTCCCAACGCCCAAGGTGGTCCCAACGCCCATGGACTGCTTCATGAAGGCGCGGCCGTTGTCCATGCCCACCCCACCAGGAAGCGCACCAGACCCGCCGAGTTCAGCTCCGAGCACAGCAGCAGACATCCCCCGCAAAGAACTCAAGACCCAAACATCCCCAAATACAGACTCAAACCTCACCGTTATACAGGGAATGAGCGCACATGGTCCTAAACCGCACGTTCCAAGGCAATGTGGGGGGGAGGAGGGGAGGGGAGGTGGGGGAGGAGCTGTCCTCACAAAGGTTGATACACCACCCTAGTAAGGGCTCATGTAGCAACTCACCGGTTGTGCAGGTGAATGAGCGCCTTGCACATGTTCTCGAATATCTCAAAGCGCACGTTCCAAGGCAGGGGGGAGAGCCCTTATCGCAGAGCAGGCGGTCGTAGAGTGAGCCCTGCGGCATGTACTCGTACACGAGGCACGGCGGGTTGTGGCAGCACCCGATCAGCAGCACGATGGTGGGGTGCCGCAGCCCCCGCTGCACCTCCACCTGAAGAAGAGGCGGGGGAGGGGTTGGGGAGGCAGGGCGCAAGAAACGAGAGGGGTGTTTGAGGCGCCTCAAGATGCATGCAGCACTCTGTTGCACTGCGGGCTCTGAGACGGTTTGGAGCAGAGGGGCCAGGGTTGGGGGGGAGCCCCTGCCACACAGGAGCCAGTCGTAGAGCGAGCCCTGCGGCATGTACTCCAAGTCGAGGCACGGCGGATTGTGGCAGCACCCGATCAGCAGCACGATGGTGGGGTGCCGCAGGCCCCGCTGCACCTCCACCTGTTGGGGGGTGGGGGGAGGGCGGGGGAGGAGGGTGCATGGCAGGAGAGGGGTTTGAGGCGCCTACGAACACAGCTGGATGCAGGAAAAAGAGCAGCCAAAGAGCAGCCAAAGAGCAGCCAAAGAGCAGCCAAAGAGCAGCCAAAGAGCAGCCAAAGAGCAGCTAAAGAGCAGCCAAAGAGCAGCCAAAGAGCAGCCAAAGAGCAGCCAAAGAGCAGCTAAAGAGCAGCCAAAGAGCAGCCAAAGAGCAGCCAAAGAGCAGCCAAAGAGCAGCCAAAGAGCAGCTAAAGAGCAGCCAAAGAGCAGCACGATGTTGGGGTGGCGCAGAACCCCCTGCAACTCCACGTGCAGACGAGACGAGGGTTGGGGAAGGAGGGAGAAGGGGAGTACTTGAAGGAAAGGGAAACAGAGAGAGGGCTCAGACGGGAGGCAAGAGCGGTTGAGAAGGAACGGAAGAGAACACAAACATGGAATACAGGAGCATGAAGCCATGCAAGCCTCCTGGTTGTTTGGCATTTTCTTTTCCAGCCTGATTATAAGAACACAGAAGCGTGACGCCAGCAAGCAACTATGGCTGAGTCAGGGAGCAGAGCATTCTTTAAAATATTGTTCTCCCAAGGCTCACTGGACTGCCCGCCCTCCCCTCATTTTTGAATTCCTTCAGAGCCTGATTCGTCTGGGCGTTCTTGAGAGCCTTGACTGCCACAGGGAAGTGCTTCAGCATCCCCGTCTACACCGACCCGTACCCCCCCTCGCCCACCAACAAGCACCCCCCCTCTCCCACCTTCACTCAGAAAGCTCAACACTGGACAGAATGCCCTCACCTCTTTCTTGAATTCCTTCAGCGCCTGGTTCGTCTGGGCGTTCTTCAGCACCTTGACAGCCACGGGGAAGTGCTCCAACATGCCCTTATACACCGACCCGTACCACAGCTATGTTGCCCTGCCCCCCCACAACGCTCAGCACTTATCAAGCTGCGCTCACCTCTTTCTTGAATTCCTTCAGCGCCTGGTTCGTCTGGGCGTTCTTCAGCACCTTGACAGCCACAGGGAAGTGCTCCAACATGCCCTGATACACCGACCCGTACCCCCCCTCGCCCACCAGGTTCTCCTCACTAAATCCGTTACAAGCAGCCTCCAGCTCCTCTATAGTGTACTGCCGGAACTCCTGCTGCTTCTTCACCTTCTCTAAAGCATATTCCTCCTGCGCTTTCACAAGAGTAGCCGCAGCTGATGCTGCTGCTTCCGCCGCTGCCTTTTTCGCCTCCGCCGCCTCCTCTTTTGCCGCCGCAGCGTGCTTAGCCTCTTCCTCCGCCTGGCGCTTAGCTAATTCCTTCTCTAGCTCCGCCTCTAAGCGCCGCTGGGACTCGGCTCGGGCATTCTCCAGGGCCATCCGAGCCTCTTCCCGAGCCTCCCGGGCCTGCTGGTCCGCACGTTCGGCGGCGAGCTGGGCTGCCCGAGCCTGCTCTTGCAGCCGAGCCAGCTCTGCAAGAAGCTCGGTGAAGTCAAAGGGAGCTCCGAATCCAAACCCTCCATGCATGCCATATCCCATGCCTGGCATACCAAACCCGCCACCTGCTGCCGCTGCTGCTGCTGCTGATGCTGCTGTGGAGCCCAGGGGGGAGAAGCCTGGGCCTCCAGTGGAGGTGCCAGTAGCAGCAGAGGAAGCAGCAGCAGTAGAAGAAGAGGTAGCAGAATCGAGATTAGGAAACCCAAACCCACTCACCCCCCCCATTCCACCCATTCCGCCCATCAACCCCGTTTGCCCCATGGGCACCCCCCTGCTCCCATCCCCCCACCCATGGGTCCTCCCATGGATCCATGCATGCCCATGCCCATGCCCATGCCCATGTATGGATTCATACACTGCATGCTTGCACCAGGCCAGCCAAATGGACTCATACCCATGCCCATCCCCATACCTGTGCCCATAGCTGAGCCTATACCTGTACCTGTGCCCATGCTCATACCCATACCAGTGCCCATCCCCATGCCCATGCCCGTGTTTGCCTGCATAAGTGCTGCTGCTGCTGCTGGGTCGCTGGAAGGAGGAGGTGGAGAAAGGGAGGACAGAGAGCTCGTTCCTGAACCGGCTGCTTCTCTTGCTACTCTTGCTGCTGCTGCTCCTTCTGCTCCTGCTGCTTCTGCTGCTGCTGCTGCTACCACTCCTGCCAAATGAGCTGGGGTCGGGTCACTGAGGGTTGCTGACTGGCTGCTGATGCTGCTGCTGCTGCTGCTGCTGCTGCTGCTGCTGTTACTGTTACTGGCAGAGCATGGGACAGGGGGAGTTGACGGGCCACTTACAGCAGCAGCCGAGGATGATGGGGCAGCAGCTGGCACTGCTGGTGCTGCTGATGGGGGGGCAGAGGGGGCAGTGGTGCTGGTGGTAGGGATGTTGCTGAGAGTAACGTTAATGCCAGAAGGGGCGTTACTGGGTGTAACACCAAGGGCAGAAGGGGCGTTACTGGGTGCAACGCCAAGGGCGGACACTGCCATTGCCGCATCAGCCGTCTTTCCAGGCAGCGTGTTGGCTCTTTGCGGCTTTGCTAGATCCTGCTGCTCTCCCTGCTGGGCCTGCTGTGCCTGCGAAAGTTGGTTCCCTGTACGCACATGCTGCTGCTGCAGCTGCTGCTGCAGCTGCTCCTGCTCCTGCTCCTGCTGCTGCTTTGCTTGTTGGATTTCTGCTGGTATGTGTGCCTGAGGCAGGGATTCCTGCTGTTGCTGCTGCTGCTGCTGCTGCTGCTGCCCCTGCTGCTGCTGGTGCTGCAGGTGAAACGCCAGCTGCGCCTGCTGGTGCATCCGGAACATCTCGATCTGCTCCATCTGCTGCAGCTGGTACAGCCGCATCATCACCTGCGCTGCATCCTGCTGCTCCGCCTGCTGCCGCTGCTTGCGCTGACTCAACTGCTGCTCGACCGCTGCCCCCTCGTGCTCCATCTGCTGCTGCTGATAGAGCCGCATCATCACCTGAGCCTCCTGCTGCTCCGCCTGCTGCCGCTGCTGTTGCATCGCCACGGCAGCTCCAGCATCAGCATCCCCCGCGGGAGAGCCCCTCCCAGGGACAGGCATGGGGTTGCCAAGGCGGGTGGATGGGAGGGGGCGGGTGTGACCGCCATGGGCCCTGGGGTTGGTACCGCTACCGCTACCGGCACTGTTGGTGCGGGAGATGGGAGCGTTCTCTATCAGGCCTGGGAACGCCCTGGCTGCAGCTGCGCCTGCCCGGCTGCTGGTGTGAGTGCTAGTGTGGTTGGCAGTATGAGTGTTGCTGCTGCTGGTGCTGTCTGGAGCGGGCACACCCAAGGGGGACGGCTGGCGGCGAGGCCCGGGAGCAGAGTCCACCCTATGCAGGTTGGAGTCAACGCTGCCTGTGCTGCTGCCCACACTGCCATCCCGCGGCATGCCTGCAGCCACAGCAGCAGCAGCAGCAGGAGCGGCGGCGGCGCTCCCAGCGCCTAAGCCAGCAGGAGTGACACTTTCTGGCGAGACCCTTCCGATCTGTCTTCCCCCAGCCTGCTGCTGCTGCTGCTGGCTGTACAGCTGCAGGCTGTGCTGCTGCTGATTGTACTGCTGCTGGTTGTGCTGCGCCCTTAGCATCTGCCTGTACACATTCCACTGCGCCCCTTCCCCATGCCCCCCCAGTCCTCCCGTACCTGCCCCCGAGCCTGTTCCCAAGCCTGGAAGCATCCCCTGGTTCGGGAAACCGCTAGCGGCGGCGGCACTAGCAACCATGGTGGTGGGAATCGAGGTGAATCCGGGTAGAGAGGAGCTACCAGGGCTATCAGTGGGGCTAGATGAGAGATGAGAGAGTGCAGGAGCACCGAGAGAAGTTGCTGGGAAGACGCCACCCATGCCACCCACCCCACCCGTGCCACTCATGCCACCCGTGCCACCTACGCCCCCCACGCCAGCCACGCCTCCCATTCCCCAGGGAGCAGCGCTCACACCGCCAGGGGGCGAGGCCCCAGCGGCAGCGGGAGGGCAGATGCCGGTGTAGGCAGAGCGGGACGCGGGGGAGAGCGGAGGGCTCTGCGACGGCGAGCTGAGGGCGCTTGACACGTGAGACGAGCCCCCTGCGCCCCCTCCTCCTCCCCCCCCTCCCCCTCCCCTCCCATCCGACTCGCTGCCACTGCCAGCCCGTGGCAAGTAGGCCTGCGCCTGTTGGGATTGCAGCTGGTTCTGCTGGCCTATGTGGGCCTGTAGGGAAGGCTGAGCACGCTGCGTGTGTTGGGGAATCTGGGGAATCTGGGGAATCTGGGGATTCTGTGGAATCTGGGGAATCTGTGGATTCTGTGGATAGTGGGGGATCGGCGCGTGGGGGGAGGGGTGCGGGTGGTCGGGGCGTGGGGCTTGCTGCTGCGGGAGCAGGGCAGCGTGGCGGGTGGAGCGGGAGGGCAGGGCGGGAGGGCCAGCGCCACCGGGCAGCTCCTTGATCTTCCTGCCGCCCTGCACCAGAACAAGCGTGCACGTGTCGGGCAGGTGGGCGCTGCAGTAGTCGGGCACGTGGGACGCCTTGCCAAAGAGCTTCCTGTGGGGGGAGAGAAAGCGACAGAGAATGGGGGATGGTGGATTCAGAGGCAGAGGCCCCTCCGAATATGAGCGTGCAGGTGGCAGGCAGGTGGGCGCTGCAGTAGTCGGGCACGTGCGACGCCTTGCCAAAGAGCTTCCTGGGAGGGGAGGGAGAAGGCGAGAGGGGTTTTGGGGATTGGGTGAGGGAGACGTCTGGATTGACTGAAAATATAAAGTAGCAATGGGAGAGGGAGGGAGTCAGTGTCAATGTCTCACAGTGCTTTTTTTGAATTCTGAGGCGTTCTTTGAGGGTTTTTTCCTAAGAATTCCGAAAAAAACAATGGGAGAGGGAGTCAGTGTCAATGTCTCATGGCAACACGTTTGCATGCATGCACCGGGCACGGGGCATACTTCACCTTGCCTTCATGCACGGAGCGGAACCACTCGAAACCATTTGCATAGCCTCTGCGTGGTCATAAGAGGGTCAGCTTAGCAGGGCCTACAGTTACAGCAAGCATGCGCTGTTGGACCAAGGTTCTGTCGCACAATGAGTGTAATGAGTCGATTTTTTAGTCGACTCAAAAATCGACTCATTACAGCAAGCATGCGCTATTGGACCAAGGTTCTGTCGCACTACGAGCACGCACTTCTTGGCGCTGATGAAGACGTGCTGTGAGCACGCACTACTTGGCACCGATGTAGAGGCACAAGTGTACTATTGCCCTATTGCCCTATCGCCCTGGACTAGAGCACGCACTTCTTGGAGCCAATGTAGAGGCGCGTTGCCTGGAAGGAGGTTGCCACGTGCACCAGCCCTTCCTCGCGCCTGTCGTTCTTCTCCACGTGCATGGCTGCTGGGATCTGCCACGGGCGATGCATGACGTTGATCGTGATGCCATGGGGAGGAATGCCGTGGGAGATGCGCGTTGGCAATCATGATGCCATGGGGAGGAATGCCGTGGGAGATGCGCGTTGGCAATCATGATGCCATGGGGAGGAATGCCGTGGGAGATGCGCGTTGGCAATCATGATGCCATGGGGAGGAATGCCGTGGGAGATGCGCGTTGGCAATCATGATGCCATGGGGAGGAATGCCGTGAGAGATGCGCGTTGGCAATCATGATGCCATGGGGAGGAATGCCGTGGGAGATGCGCGTTGGCAATGATGATGCCATGGGGAGGAATGCCGTGGGAGATGCGCGTTGGCAATGATGATGCCATGGGGAGGAATGCCGTGGGAGATGCGCGTTGGCAATGATGATGCCATGGGAGATGCGTGCCATGGTGGGTGATCATGGGCGCTCACGTGCATGCGCTCAGAGAAGGTCTTGAAAGGCATGAGAATGTTCTGGAAGACGCTGTTCTCTATCTCCTGCAGGGATTGAGCTAATTCATAATAATTCTCTAAGAATCAACTAACCAGGGAAGCGGGTCGTCTTAAAGAGGGATGGGCGGCTCACGTGCTTGCGTTCGGAGAAGGTTTTGAAGGGCACGAGGATGTTCTGGAAGATGCTGTTCTCCATCTCCTGCACCGACCGCGCGTCCGCCTGAGATATCGGAAGCTCTGCGCCCGCTGCGAGCATCAGCGCGAAGCGCGGTGAGAGGAAAGTCACGAGGCGGGGAACCGGACGACGCGAAAGCAAAAAGATGGCTAGCCGAGAGAATGGCATAACGGAACTGCAGAAGGTACTAATGTGTCAGAGACTGGGAGCAGAGAGGCAGACACCTTAGCGAGAGACACCTTAGCGAGAGAGACACCTTAGCGAGAGACACCTAAACGTCATCTGGAGGAAAAAACAATCCGAGCGACAGAATTCAGGTGATCGTCGCTTACCTGGGCGACGCCTAGCAAGCGTCCATTGCTCATGCTTAACTGGGCGACGACTATCGACCGTCCATTGCTTATGCTTAACTGGGCGAGGGCACGGCGGTGAGGACAGAGACGAGATTGAAGGCGACGCTTCTAAGACAGCTCAATGCTTCTCGTGCTTAACTGGAGGACGGCACGGCGGTGAGGACGGAGACGAGGTTGAAGGCAACGCGGAAGGCGCAGAGGCGCGCGTCCTCGATGGCGGTGAGCAGCACATCCTTGCTCACTTCCTTGTCGCGCACCACCTCCACCACCCACACCGCCACGTGCCCCCGGCTCGTCCCCATCGCCAGGCTGTGCATTGCCGCGACCCTGACTCGCTGCGTTGCTGGGTTTCAGCGACACTGACTCGCTGGCGTCGCTAAGGCACTGACTCGCTGCGTCGCTAAGGCACTGACTCGCTGCGTCGCTAGGTCACAGACTCACTGCGCCACCGAGGCGCTGACTTGCTGCGTCGCTAAGTCACTGACTCACTGCGCCACCGAGGCGCTGACTCGCAGTTTCTACTAAGGTTCACTGAGGCGTTAGGTTTCGCATAATCGAGCCAGCGAGTGGATGATCGCTCGGCGATGCTTCACCTGACACCATGCATAACTGAAACGAGACTAGACCGTCGCTCTTATCGGTTGGAAAAGGTGCAGCTGCTTCCAGGCTACGGGCGTGGTACAAGTTGACGTTTTTGGGGGTCGTATGCAAAAGGTCGACCCCCCACCGCACTCAGCACACATAAAAAGGTTCTATCGCCACATCAAATCGCCTTGGAACCCGCTAAAAATGCGACCCCGAAGACATGCGACCCCGACCCTGAGTCACTTGTACCGCGCCCGGAGTACGACAATGAAAGAAGGCGAGCTACGCTTCCTACCATGCGAGGCCTATGTCTTATTCTACCACGAGGTCAGCGTCTCAGTCTACCAAGGAAACACGACGGCGGGAGCAGATAGTCACCACTGACGCTCATCGCGAGCACTAATGGCGCCATGGGGTCGAAGGAGCAGCACCCACTGCCCTTGGGAGTGCCAGGAAGCACAGAACTGGAGGCCGAAAGCTGGAGGGTAAGGACGGGGGACAAGGTGGCATCTCGAGGTTTGATGGCACATGATCGACTCGTCACCGCCCTATACCCACGCTAAATTCTTTTGTACCCTACAAAGCCGCGTCCAAACCCGTTGCACGAGCGTTCCCGAGGGAGGTCGAACCTGATCCTCTTCAACTAGTACCGCGCCCAATTTCGAGGTAACACAGGGGTGTCCAGCTCGGGGATGTAGGGAATATGGATGGAGGCAGGAAGGATGATGCCCTGACCTGCCCTGTTCTGTGTGTCGGTGTGCCAAAAGGGAATCTGGGTCCGAGCCTAGACAAGAGGTACGGTAAAGGGCCTATGTGGGGAGTCGTGGTAGTTGGGCAGAGAACATCGCTGGAGCCATGGTTGTTTGTGCGAGGTCAGCCATGCTCTGCGATGGCAAGAAGGATGGCGTGCGAGGTTTGTGCGACGCTTGACGAAACTCCTGACAGTTCGCAGCTAGCAAATACTGACACGGCGGTTACACTACACTAGAATTTCCCCCAAACAACCCACCAGCCTGAAACAAGCCCTCGTCTCACTTCCTTTCGCTGGCAAAACGCTGCAGTATCCTTCCATGGCTTGAAACCAACCCCGACATTCCTAAGAGCGTGTATGAAGTGCAAGGAAAATGACGTTACCCGACATCCCGGCGCGGTAGAGTGCGTTTTCTTTCGATCGAGAACATTCCTGTGCGTTCGGAGGCGGTGACTCGACGTCACAGGCATGACGTTGTGCAGTTACTTGATACCCCCGTAGTAGCGGAGCTCTGTGCAGCATCCCTAGTCTCGCAGTCACTGTCAACATTCGTCGTCTTGGCGGGAACACATCCACGGTTCGACCCATTCTCGAAGTAGTGTTTTGTTTTCTCTCATCCGTCAAATTTCCATTCTGATTTTTTGAACTGGCTTAGTTTTTTGTTGTCTTTTTTTTTTCAGCGGCGGTGGCGGTAGCGGCGTCGCCATGGGCCGGCCAGCAGCACCAGCGGAGCCGGACTGGCGCACGAGATTTCAGCGGGAGAAGCGACATTTTCTGCGAAGAAACTGTGAGCTGTCTACTTCACCTAAATATTCGACACCGTAGTAAGTCCGAGGTATCAATTCCGTTCTTTTGAGCAGAATAACCACCTTTTGTAACACGTTCGATGCGGTTTAAGAGAACATGTAGCTCTGCGGCGGGTTCCCACCGTGCTGCCGGAGCCATCACAAGAATTCTGATGCGACTCGAAACATACCTCTAGTTACGTGTTTTGGTTGACTGCAGCGTGGAAAGCCTTCAGATGTTAACGTCAGATCCCGACATGGACGAGCTCCACCGCGTGGCAGCTTCTTTCGAGCGAAAAATGTTCTCAATGGCGACCAACCAGGTGCCAACAACATTCTAGAGTCGTTTAATCGGGTGGAAATATCATAAGAAAGGAAGCCAAGTAGTAATACTTGAGTTTGTGTTTCCACCTTGACCGCTTTTTGTCATCCGCTGAAGCCTTCGTTTTTCGTCCTCCTCTTTATCATTTATTTGCTGTTGTTACTATTCGTCTCTTGGCCTCCAAGATGGCCGTTTTACCTCGTCCTTTTCCCATTCAACCCCATTCCTGCCTTACCCTTCTGGTTGTGGAAAACCAGGACGACTACCTCTGGAGGATTTCCCAGAAGATGTTGTACATAAAGAGCAAGGCCCTCATGCTGCAAGCAAGGAACACCAGCTCCGTGGATTCATCAGGGCCAGTTACCAGTGGTGAGGGAAGGACTTGATGGTTGATGCATGTACAGAATGAGATTAATGCATGTATTGAGTGATGCTGATGCATGTAGTGAGTGAATGTGATGGATGCACGGAATGAATGTGGCATGTACAGAGTGAATGTGGTGCATGTACAGAGTGAATGTGATGCATGTGATAGCTCCGCAGCGGCCATGGCCAAGGCATGGGAAAGCATGTCTCAGCAGCAGTCATGCATGCGCTTGCGACGTTCGGTACTCCTCCCAATCCGCCATTTGGTCCTGCCAAGATTGTGCGTTAGTTATTGTCAAATTACGGTATATATATATATTTTTTTTTTAATTTTTTTTTTTTGTTCAGGCTTGGTAGGTGTTTTAAATTGCTGGATCCTATTGTAGAGGGGATAACCCCCCCACCCCCCCCCCCCCCCCCCCCCCCTTCTTGTATCTCTTTCTCTTCCTAGTTGTCTCTCTTTTCTCTCGTAATTTTTCTCCTAGCACCTAAACCCTCACGCCATTTCCATGGCTCTGTTAAATTATATCTTATACATAATTGTAGGCTTGGTAGGTGTTACTGGAACCTACTGTAGAGGGTACAACTCCCTTGTATCCCTCTCTTTTAATCTCATCCTTTTTTCTCTCGATATTTCTCATAGCCTAAAACCTCACGCCATTCTATGGCTTCCCTAGCTACCTAGCTAGTTTGACATCCTCTCCTTACCTGGCTTGTTTAACATGGTACGAGAGCAGGCCCTTCCGCTCAGGCCTTCTCCTCACGCTTCCGCCTCGTACTCTCCTCCCTCCTGTCACTTCCACGCCGACGTGGCAGCCATGTCGTGCTGCCATGGCGGCTTCGTCGTGCTGCCATGGCAGCCTCGACGCGCTGCCGTGGCGGCGTCGTCGTGCTGCTGTGGCAGCGTCGACGTGCTGCCGTGGCGTTGACGCCACGACGTGGCGGTGTCGCCGTGCTGCCGTGGCAGCGTCGACGTTCTGCCGTGGTGGCGTCTGTCAAACATTAGTATATCTAGTGTTTGTATAGACTGTGTAGGGTCACCTCTTAGAGAGTACAACCCTTAGATATGTTTGCTTGTACCCAGGTTCTCTAGTCATTCATTACTCAGTTCTAAGATGGTATCACCAGTAGGTAGGTCCTGCCGCCCGCCCATGCTTCCGCCCTAGGCCCTAGCCGCCCCCGCGCCCGTCCTAGTCGACCCCGCACCCGTCCTAGCTGAGCCCGCCGCGCCCGTCCTAGCTGGCCCCCGCGCCCGTCCTCACGGCCCCCGCGCCCGTCCTAGCTGGCCCGGCGCCCGTCCTAACGGCCCCCGCGCCCGTCCTAACGGCCCCCGCGCCCGTCCTAACGGCCCCCGCGCTCGTCCTAGCCGGCCCCGCGCCCGTCCTAGCTGGCCCCCGCGCCCGTCCTAGCTGGCCCCGCGCCCGTCCTAACGGCCCCCGCGCCCGTCCTAACGGCCCCTGCACCCGTCCTAACGACCCCCGCGCCCGTCCTAGCCGGCCCCGCGCCCGTCCTAGCTGGCCCCGCGCCCGTCCTAACGGCTCCCGCGCCCGTCCTAGTCGGCCCCGTGCCCGTCCTGGTGGCCCCCGCGCCCGTCCTACCGGCCCCCGCGCCCGCCCTAGTGGCCCCGCGCCCGTCCTACCGGCCGTCGCGCCCGTCCTTACCGGCCCCGCACCCGTCCTAGCGGCCCCCGCGCCCGTCCTACCGGCCCCCGTGCCCGTCCTAGCCGGCCCTGCGCCCGTCCTAGGCCTGTCCTATCCGGCCCCGCGCCCGTCCTAGGCCCGTCCTAGCCGGCCCCGCGCCCGTCCTACCTGGCCCCCGCGCCTGTCCTCGCCGGCCCGGCGCCCGCCGCTACTGGCCCCCCCCGCGCCCGTTCTGCCGACCCCTGCGCGCGCCCTGCCCGTCGATCTCCGGCCCCGTGCTCACCTTCCCGCTGGACTGCCGCCGATCTGCGTGCGGCCTGCTCTACGTACCTGCTACTGCACTGCACCCTCCCTGGTACGGTTCTATATCACCTTGCACCGCACTGCACCCCCCTGCACCGCACCGCACCTTGTTGCACCGCACTGTACCGCGCTGTACCGCATTGTACCGCCCTGCACTGCACTGGACCGCGCTGCACTGCCTCATCTGGCCTTGCCCTGCACTGTTCCTGATGGCGGAGGAGCTTCGCTTCGACGCTGACGGCCAGCCTCTGGAGTTCGAGGCCTGGCTAGCCGACCTCCGCCACCACCTCACTGGTCAGCGGCAGGATGGCCTCCCGCTCTCTACACACCTTGACGGTACGCTTCCCTCCCCAGACCCCCCTGCTGTGCTGGCCGCTGACCCCACACCTGCTGAGCGCGAGTCTACTGCGACCGCTGCCCTCGCTTGCTCTATCTGGCTTTCCCGTGACGCTGTCGCCCAGCTTGCCATTAGCAATGCCCTCCCCCCGTCTGAGCGTCCTCGCTTTTGGTCAATCACCACCGCCCAGGCTTTCTTAGACGCTGTTATCCGGCGCTATTCCGCCCCGCCTGCTGCCTCGGTGGGTCGCCTGATCCTACCGATGCTCTTTCCTGACCTTGCGTCTTTCGCCACTGTCGCTGACCTGGCTGCCCACCTGCGCACGATAGATGAGACCTGGCGCGCTGGCTGCACTGACGCACAGCTTAGAGCCCACCAGCCGCCCCTTACCTCTACCCTCTACCTGCTTGCCACCCGCCTCCCTGACCGCCTTGCCGCTGCTCGTGACCGCTTCCTTAGCATTCATCCCGGTGACCTCACCCTCACAGACTTTGTAGACACCCCGACTGTTATTGAGACCCGCCACCGCTCTATCGCCCAGGCGAGCGGTACTGTGCCGGTCCCTATCTTTCAGGGTTGTGCCCCCGCTCAGTGCACCTTCTCCGATGGTTCTGCAGCTGTGGTTGAGACCGCCGCTGCAGCGTAGTTCCGTCCGGGGAAGGGCCGCCGCCCCAAGAATGGGCGCGGCGGAGGTGGTGGGGGTGCCAGTGGAGGTGGTGGTGGAGTCGGGTCGTCTGTTGGTGGAGTGGACAAGGGGACCCTACCAGGTCCAGCTAAGCAGCCGCCCCAGCAGCCGCAGCAGCAGCAGCAGCCGCAGCAGCAGCAGCAGCCGCACCAGCTACAGCAGCCGCCGCAGACGAGGCAGGCGAGTGCCCTCCCGCCCGGGTGGCCTGGCGCTGGCGGTGGTCGTGCGCATGGTGGTGTGCCGGGTGGCGGTTCGGGAGGCGTGCACGGTCCTCGCCGCGGCTTCGTTTGCGGTAAGATCGGTCACGCCACTGCCCGCTGTTTTCGTCGCCTGGACGACCTGTTTCGTCATCGTTTCGGCCGTCGCCCGACCTCCCGGACTGGCACAATTTGCTTAGTCGTAGAGTTCAGATTTTTTACATGGACATGGATGCCATTGTTTCTGCCCTGCATGTGATGTATGCTGATGACTCTAGTGTGCTCCCCTCTTATTACTCCTTGTCGCCTAGTGTAGGTGTGCCTAGCTTAGCCTCCCCTGCTGCGTCAGGCGTAGGAGCTTCTGCCTTGTTTAGCCTTGGTGCTTCCGCCGTCGCCCCGTCGCCAGACGCCACTGCTTCGCTTTCCTTCACCTTGGACTCTGGCGCTTCCCGATGTTTCTTCCGCGACTCTACTACGCTGACGCCGCTTCCTGTTCCTGCTGCAGTTTCTCTTGCTGACCCCTCCGGCGGTCCCGTAGTCGCTCGCAGTTCCACCACCCTTCCCTGTCCGGCGGTTCCTTCGGGCTCACTCACAGGTCTGCATATCCCCTCATTCTCCAGGAACCTAGTTGGTGTCGGCTGCCTCCAAGACCTTGGCGTCACCACTACGTTCCCTAGTCACGAGCTGATTCTGTCTGTACCGAGGCCGCCACTGGTGCCCCCCTGTCCACGTTCCCCCGGGACCCGGTGTCCGGCCTGTTCACCCTGGACACCGTGACCCCCCAGGCTGGGGCGCCCCTTCAGGTGGCTGCGTCTACCCAGGTTGCTGTTGCCTGCTCCTGTTGGTCCCTCACTCACCTGACTCTCCTTTGGCACCACCGCCTAGGTCACCCTGCGCTCCCGCGTCTGCGTCACATATCCCAGCACGGTCTCGTCCTTGGTCTCCCTGGTTTGTTCCCCGCTTTTCCCTACTCCCCCGCCCCACCTTGCACGCCTTGTGTCGAGGGTCGGCTTCGCCGTGCCCCTCACTCCACCTCGTTTCCCCCTACCGCCGCGTCGCTGCAGACCCTGCACATGGACGTCTGGGGCCCCGCCCCCGTCCATGGGCCGCGTCGAGAGCGCTACTTCCTCGTGCTTGTCGACGACTTCACTCGCTACACCACAGTCTTTCCCCTGGAGCGCAAGGCCGACGTGCCTGACGCTCTCATCCCGTGGCTTGTCTCTGCCCGTGTCCACCGAGGTCTCCCTGTCCTGCGTCTTCACTCCGACCGTGGTGGCGAGTTTGCCTCCGGTGTCCTTGGTCGCTTCTGTCGTACGGAAGGCATCACCCAGACGTTCACCCTGCCGGACTCCCCACAGCAGAATGGGGTCGCTGAGCGACGCATCGGTTTGGTTATGGAGATGGCTCGCACCTCCATGATCCATGCCGGTGCACCCCATTTTCTGTGGCCGTTCGCCGTGCGCTACGCTGCTCACCAGCTTAACCTGTGGCCGCACCCCCAGCAGCCGCAGGTTTCGCCGACCCTTCTTTGGACAGGGTCTCCTGGTGACGCGTCTGCATTCCACGTCTGGGGCTGCCTTGCTTACGTTCGTTCCTCTGGCACGGACAAGCTCACTGCTCGCACCCTTCCCTGCGTCTTCCTAGGTTTCCCCCTTGACGCGTCCGACTGGCACTTCTACCACCCGCCGTCTCACCGGTTCTTTCACTCTCACGACGTCACCTTTGACGAGTTTGTCTCCTTCTACGGTCGCTTCCCCCACCGCGGTCCCCCGGTTACTCTCCCCCTATTCCTGGTCACTCCCTCCCCGGTGGTCTCTGCCCCCCCCCCCTCCCCCTCCCTGTCCTGCCCCCTCTGGTGTGTCCGACGTCACCTTTCTCCCGTCAGTTGTCCCGGTCAAGGAGTCCTCTGACTCTGGTGGTCCTGCGGCGCAGTCCTCGCCCCTCCCTCGGTGTCTCCCCCCCCACAGCCTCTGTAGCCGCCGTCGCCCCTGCTGTCGTAGCCGTCGTTCCCGCCGCCGCCGCTGCAGCCGCCGTCACAGCAGCAGTTCGTCGACTCTGGGAGTGCTCGAGTTGGGGTGGGTGCTAGTTCTGAGGTTCCTGTTGTGGCCTGCCCAGGTGGCCCTGGGGGTGGTACTGGTGCTCGAGGGGTTTCGGGCTCTGGGGGTGCCGGAGTGGAGTGTCCCGGAGGTAGCCGAGGAGCAGCTTGCGGTCCCGGTGTTGGTGTTGTGCCGCCGCAGCAGCAGTCCCCGCCGGTGTCAGTCCTTCGCTTGCTCGGCCTTCCGTCCCCTGACCCTGCGTCCGTTCCTCTCCTGCCGTCTCCTCCTCTTCCTGTCTATGGCCCTGTTTTCCCTCCGCCGGACTCGTCCTCGGCTCGTCTTCCCCCTCGCTCCCCCCTTGTGTCCCCTCCTCTGTCTCCTGACCCGACGCCTCCGTCTCACGTCTGGTCCCGCTGGCCCTCCCGCGCTCGTCCTGTCTCCCGTGTCACGCGCTCTCACCCTATGTTGCTCCGTTCCCACGCGTCTCGTCCTCCCCTTCTACGGTCGCCTCCTCCGTCCCCTCTTACCATTGCGCCTCGTCCTCTGTCTGACTACCTTTGTGTCGCTCGTCAACTTGTTCCTCGTGTCCTCGCCTCTCTCGTTACCGACCCGTCTGTTCTGGTCTCGTGTCTTGACGCTCTTGTCGCTGCGGTCGCTGACTTCGCCTCTACCGGCCTTGACTACGCCACCGCTCTGGTCTCTGACCCTGCCTGTCCTCTGTCTGTCGTGGGTGCTCCTGCCCTCGGCAGTGACGTCCTGGAGGACCGCCAGTTCGAGCTTGCTTTCCTGTCCGAAGCTGCTCCCCATCTCTGTTCCATGCTGCTAGTCCCTGAGGGTGACCCAGACGCTTTCGACATCCCGACCCCTCGCACTTACGCTGAGGCGACCTCGGGACCCTGGGCCTCGCAGTGGATAGCTGCCATGGAGCAGGAGATGGCATCTTGGAGATCCACCGGCACCTTCGTCGACGTACTTCCGCCGCCTGGGGTGAATGTAGTCGATGGCTGCTGGCTCTTCAAGGTGAAGCGCCCTCCTGGAGAGCCGCCTGTGTTCAAGGCGCGCTACGTGGCTAGAGGCTTTAGTCAGCGTGAGGGGGTGGACTTCTTCCAGACCTTCTCTCCGACCCGGAAGGTGACTACTCTTCGGTTTCTGTTACACCTAGCTGCTCAGCGTGACTACGAGCTGCACTCCCTCGACTTCTCCACTGCCTTCCTTCAGGGCAGCCTACACGAGCAGGTCTACCTGCGTCGCCCTCAGAGCTTTACTGGCACCTTCCCTCCTGGGACCCAGTAGCTCCTGCGGCGTCCTGTTTACGGCCTGCGGCAGGCTCCCCGTGAGTGGCACGACACGCTGCGTGCTACGCTTGCTGACCTACGCTTTCCGTCTTCCGCAGACCCCTTACTCTTCGTTCGTGCTGGCCAGACTCAGTTCTACATCCTTGTTTACGTGGACGATCTGGTCTTTGCCACAGCAGACAGGGACACACTGGCCTCCGTGAAGGCCAAGCTGCTGAAGAGACACACTTGCATTGACCTTGGAGAACTGTGCCGTTACCTTGGCTTGCAGATCTCCAGGGACAGAGCAGCGCGCACCATCACCTTGACTCAGTCACACTTGGTGCGCCAGGTCCTTCAGAGGTTCGGCCTTCAGTTCTCTTCTGCGCAGCCCACCTCTCTGCCTGTAGACCACAGACTCTCCGCTCCAGTTTCTGAGGAGTCAGTAGAGCCCATTGGCCCTTACGCAGAGCTGGTGGGTTGCCTCATGTTTTTGATGACTTGCACTCGCCCAGATCTCGCATACCCTCTCAGCATCCTGGCTCGCTTTGTGGCTACAGGTAGACACCGACCGCAGCACTGGTCTGCCGCTAAGAGGGTTTTGCGTTATCTTGCAAGTACATCGGGCATGGGGCTAGTGCTAGGAGGACGCAGGTCAGTGGTCCTTACGGACACATAGACGCTTTTTGGACAGACGACGCCGAGACACTCAGGTCTTCCCAGGGCTACTGCTTCAGCCTTGGTTCAGGTGCCGTCTCGTGGAAAGCTACCCGCTCCTCGTCTGTTGCCCAGTCCAACTGTGAGGCCGAGATCTACGCTGGTGCCATGGCGGCACAGGAGCTCCGCTGGCTGACCTTCTTGCTCACTGACTTAGGTGAGCGGCCTAGCTCCGCCCGGTCCTGTACGCTGACAACAGGGCCATGATCCTCCTGTGTCAGGAGCCTCGACTCAAGGGCAGAGCGAAGCATATCCAACTGCGGTACTTCCTCCTGCGCAAGCTACAGCAGCGCCGCCAGGCTCGCGTAGTACACTTGGCCTCCGGTGCCAATACAGCTGATATCTTTACGAATGCGCTTGCGCCTAAAGATCATCAGCGGCACTGTGTACAGCTTGGTCTAGTTCCTATAGTCTCTCACTTGCTAGGGCCTTGACTTTGTACTATCCTTTATATATATATTTACTCAAACTGGACTTGTGTCCTCTCCCAGTGGCTGGACTAGTAGTTCCGCCCTGGTCTTGTTCTTTTCTTGCCTGTCCTCCTGTTGACTGGTCTTTAGACCCTTGTCTTAGTGGCTGGACTAGTAGTGCCGCCCTGAGCTGCTTGTTCAGGAACTGCCCCTATGCAGTCTTCGGGGGGTGTCAAACATTAGTATATCTAGTGTTTGTATAGACTGTATAGGGTCACCTCTTAGAGAGTACAATCCTTAGATATGTATGCTTGTACCCAGGTTCTCTAGTCATTCATTACTCAGTTCTAAGATGGTATCACCAGTAGGTAGGTCCTGCCGCCCGCCCATGCTTCGCAACTGCGAAGATTATCGAGTCAACACTGCTACTGTACCCCTGACAATTCACACAGATTGACAACACCTCACTGCGGTTACGAAAGGGCAACGGTCGCAGACCGTTGACCATGCAACTCAATAGTCAGAATCGCAAGAGTCAAGAGTCAGTGCCACGGCTCAAATTTGAAGGGTATTTCACCCTGATTGCCCTTGCCAGCGGCCGCTTTTTCAGGATCACCTTGATTTTCAAAGGGTATTTTTTTGTGACACTTTCTCTAAAATTGTATTATTTTTTTTACCCTGCTGTAGCCAGAGTAATCCGTGATCTACCCTGACCAGGCAGGGTGTTGCCGAAAACACCATGAAACAGAAGCCTACAAGGCCTACAGATTCGATTGTTGTCGAATCTGCCACGCGTGAAACCGCGCCAGCCATGCCCGCCCACTGGCAGTCAAGCCCCCCAGAATCGGCGCGCGTGGCAGTGAATTCGTCGCGCTGTGGCAGCACTGCTGCCAACGGCGTGCTGGATGCAGTATGCGCTATGCATCGAGGCCACTTTTCCGCGTGGTCTCAAGGACAGCTGGGCATCGCATGCACGAGTGCAGCAACACTCGCAGCGCATCATTCCCCTCGTTAGTTGTTACTCTATCGCTTCTACTACTCAGACATGGCCGTTCCCGAGAACGAGGAGCCTGACGATGGCCATGTTGGTCATCGTGATGGCCTTAGCGTCCTCGGCGTTTTCCCCCTCACTCGACCAGCAGTCGCGCCCTCATTCAGCCAGCGTAAATCTCCCCCGCGCTCTCTGCAAATTCCTCGGCCCGCCCCACCACAGATTCCTAGATCCCTTTCGCCATCTCCACGGGGCATCGAGCCCATCAACGTTTCAGAGTCTGCCGATGCAGATGAGTCCGACCATCCCTCCGTGACAACCCCACCCTCCCCTACCTCCCAGACTGGCCAAAGGCCGCGACAGTCCGCATGGACGCAGTCGACCCTCTGGGGTGCGCCTCCGCCTCGCCGCCCAGCAAGCCCGCCTCCCGCGCGCCCTTCTCGCCCTGCCGGGCCTGCTGGCGACTCTCTGCCGACGACCGCTGCTGAGGCCGAGTATGCAGTAATAAAGAACCATTTCGACAACGACTTGTCGAAACGGTTCTCCTGGCTGCGGCTACATCGAATGAGGAACGGACGACCTGCTCTCAAGTGCGCCACGTGCCTCAAACACGCCGACCCATGTGCGAACACGTCGTATGGTATCAAGGGTGAGGGCAGGCGTGATTTGCAGCTCGGCAGCATCCGCTCTCACATCGGCACCCGTGCGCACAAATCGGCGCTCAAGGCGGAGGAGGATGCTGAGAAAGAGCGCGCGCGACAAGTGACGCTGACCCGCTGGCAGCGGACGGATCACCAGACACGGCATCTTATCCGCATGCTGCACATCGCGTTGTTCATTTGCAAGCATGATGCGCCCATCGCGATGTTCATCCCCCTGTGCTGGTTCCTCGCGAAGGAAGGCCACCCCGATCTGCCGCCAGGTGGTGGGTACGGCGCCTACTACACAGAGTATGTTAAAACCTCGACAGTAGTTCTTGTGCTGTGCGCTTTGCCGTTTGATGCTCACTGCTCGTCCTCCCTCCCCACGTGCACAAATTGTGGCCGTCTTATATGGTACAAATGCCCCGCCGTCCGTCTCTCCTTGTTTCCGTGTCATGCAGTTATGGTTTCAAGGAGAGCATACGGTCCATGTCGGAGTATCTGCAGGAGGAACAGCTGAAACACCTTTGCGCCTCTCCCTACGTCGGCATCAGCATCGACGAGAGCACGGATCGCATCCACGGGAAACATCTCGTACTCTACGCGACGTTTTTCAAGGGCAACACCGTGGCAACCGAGTTTGTCACGTTTCTGAGTGTCGAGCAGACTGACGCGGCATCTCTGACCTCCTCCCTCTTGCACTACATCCAGGGAATTGGACTGGACCTGCAAAATATCGTGGGCATCGCGGCTGATGGAGCTTCCGCAATGACTGGCGAGCGGAGCGAAGTAGTGACCCGTCTGCGTGTACAAATCGAGCACCTCGTCTCGATTCATTGCATTGCCCATCGGTTTGTTGCGGTTCGACGGACGTATAAACTTTCCGATGATATGCATGGTCGTGCGTTATATTCCTGGAAGTAACATCAGCCTTTCTACTACTCTTCCCCTATCCTCCCACCCCGCCTTTAGGGAGGCGCTGGCGGCTAAGGACGCGGCTGCAGCCGTGCCCGAGCTAAGCATCATTGACCTTATCATACGGACACTGGCCGACATCCTTGGACGCAGTCATGTGCGCTACACCCGCTTCATGGTGCGGCAGCTGATCTTCTGTCAGACGACACTGGAACACCAGGGAATCCATGTCATCCGCTGGCTCTCCAGGGGCGAGGCGGTGAACCGCCTCGTGGACGTGCTCCTAGCCGCCATCTTGCTGCTACGTGAGCACGGGAGTGACTTGTATGAAGTCGTTACTTCGTTCAAGTTTCATTTTCTCCTGCGCTTCCTCGCCGACATTCTGACAGAGCTGAACATCCTCAACCCAACGGTTTCAGCAGCGCCAGGTATGCATCACCGTGTCTGATCTGTTCATTATATCGCTACGCGTGTCTGACTCTCACAACCCATGTTTGCCGACCGGTCCATGTGGTTTCCGGCGCAGAGCATAGCACTGATACGTGGTGCGTGTGTTGTGCCCGCCCCTACAGGTTGACGTGACACTCATGGCACACGTGGTTGAGCAAACCAAGATGTGGATCTCGGCGCGCTATCTTAGCTCTGGGCCTGGGCACGTCTTCGGCCATGGGGAGAAGCTCCATCTGCCAGAGTTCATCGCGGCGCATGCGGCTAAGGACAAGCGGGTAATGATGGCAGAGGGCGTCGACGGTGACGGAAACCCGCAGTCGTTCTCCTTCGAACTCCACGAGCGACCGCTGCCGGGCCAAGATTCTGACGGCGATGTGACAGCTTGCTTCAAGCTCTGCGTCAAGTATGCTCGCTCCGTCAACATGTTCCTCGACCGCCGCCTTAACGATCTGCGTAACCTGGAGGGGACTAAGTTGTTCCTGGACAAGACCTACCTGGATGACGACATCCTGCGGGTTGCGGCCTTCAAGAAGTGGCTGAAGCAGCTGGACGGCCTGTTTCGGCACAAGCTCCCAGGTAATCTAGAGCGCCTACTTCTCAACCATGGAGTCATGGTATGCTATGCTATGCGAACAGAATCGTTGCCTCTCAAGTCTCAACACTGAACCATTACTCCCTCACTGCCCCGAACCCCCTTGCAGGATTCAAGTACAACAATGCAGTCACGGAGCTATGGATGTTCACATCCACCATGCACTCCCAGCATCATCATGAGGACTTCTTCCAGGCGCTGAGCAACACGCTGCGTGACAGCAACTGGCAGCTCAGCTACCCCAACATCATGCTCATTTGGCAAGCTGTCGCCGTTCTCCCGCTGAGCACCGTCGACTGCGAGCGCGGTTTCTCCAAGCAAAACCTGATAAAGACATGGGCGCGAGGTAGCATGGGCGACATCACCCTCGGCCATCTCATGCGGTGCTCCCTGCTGGACTATGACGTGGACTGGTTCGACGTGGTGGCCATCTTTCGTGGAGAAAAGCCCCGCCGCACTATTCGAGACTTCACCGGCGCCATCCCCAGTTCGGCGCAGTTTGCTGAGCTAGAGAACGCAACCCCCTCTGCTGCTCCCAGCTCAGTCGGCGGTGGGAATAGTGGGTCTGCAGAGTGAGATATCAGTAGGAGTTTTAGTGACTGCCGTGAGACTCACAGAACATGCAGTAGTAGTAGTAGTAGGTTATCTAGCTATGCATTGATAATGCTAGAGACAACGTGCTTGTATGTATGCGAGATTTAAAAGCACTCCAACGTTTGATTGACTGTTGTAAGCACATGAAAGGGTGTTCAATTTTTTTCCCTGGCTAAACAGTGTACTATTTTTTTTTTACAATTTTACCCTGATTTTCAAAGGGTGCCAAAAAATTTACCCTAAGAGACAGGGTAAATTTTTTTAGGTATACCGATTACTAAGGGTGCCCCTAAACCAATTTTGAGCCCTGGTCAGCGCGACAGCAAGGACAAATAACCGTCCCGATATTACAGTACGGGTGGTTACCCGAGTCGCCTTATCGAGTCATAAAAGGGGAATGTACCCCTCGAAGTGCACAAACAGTTAGACTCTTCATATCCTCTTGTATTACTATATGAGCCTTGTATCCTTTTGCTATAATCAATCACTTCTCATATACCAGTACAAGGGTTCAACTCAAAGACTTCTGCTGTGCTATTGTTGGAAATACCTCAAGGACTTAAGCGTTTCTGAAGTATGACACTACACTCGAGTAAAGCCGTATAGGGTACGCGAGTCAACGAAGGTTACACGAGGAGGTTGGACGAAAGAACACGAAAGGACGAAAGACTCGAAGGGTCGCAACCTCCTGTTGCGCCTGACCGTTACAACTACAAGGGTGGTAACCGAACCGATCATCGAGTCGCTGTGCGACTTGATAACCGTCCTTTCAATTGTATTCCACAACTGCTTTACTTTCCAATTTTCTATATATTGTTGTATGCTTGTTTCTTTTAATCAATCACTTGCTCTCACATACTAGTGCAAGGGTTCAACTACTCAACTTCCGCTGCACTACTCAAAACATCCTTGTACAACTAGGGACTTAGTCTCTGAAAGATCCTAAGGGCTTTTTATCAGCCCAACATGGTATGAGAGCTGGTCAGAGACCAAACTCCCAGCAACAACGCTCTATCTACAGTCAACACATCAAACAGCTTCATCGATTATAAGTCGTGGACAACAAGGGCAAGAAGATCTCTACGGGCTCACCCAGCGCACAAGACACTCAACCCGGCAACTCTGGACTGCACACTTCATGACTGCAAACCGAGACCGGCGCTGCTCAAGAAACAACAGGAAGGGCACCAGAAATGGTGACCCCATCACCCTCTTCAAGCGTGGACCCGAACCTTATGGAAAGGTTCTTCAGCTTCATGTCGCACTTTGAGCAGCAGCAGACAAGGACACATGCACATTCAACGCAGAGCAACGGAGGAAACATGGGATTAACGCCAATGAGCCTCGACAACTCATCGTTCGGGTGACACAATCAAGCGCCTACCTTTGCGCCTTATCACTCTACACCGGGGACGTTCGAGTTCATGCCGCCCCGTGCCCAACCAACAGCAGCTGCATCACAACAAACACCAAACGAGATATTGAGTCTCCAGGCGCAGTTTTCACACGTGATCAAATTGCAGACATCCTCACCGTTCAACGGACACGGCTTTTTTACCTGGAGCTTCGAGTTCGAGCTGCCGATGGAAGCCGCGCATCTCTTGGGATACTTCAACGGGTCCCTGCCATTTCCAAGCAATGGCACTACAAAGGATCAGGAAATCTTCACTTATCAGTCGCTGCTGGCGTACATAGTTCTCCTGCGAAAGCTGTCACCACAAGAACAACAAAGCATCAGAACGTATCGGAGCTACGGAAACTCCGCAGAGCTCGCATGGCATCACCTCAAGTGTCTCTACCAAGCAAACGACAGCGTGACACAAAGCAGACTCATGCAGCAGTTGACAACAATACAAATGAAAACCGGGGAAAAGGCGATGCAGTATATGAGTCGCTGCCAGACACTCCGCGAGCGCCTGCTTCGGTGCGGAGGTACAATCGCTGAAGAAAGCTTCGTGACACTTGTCCTCGCCGGGCTCGGGCCAGAATGGAGAACCACCCGCTCGCTTCTTCGCGCCCACGGACGAATTTCGGAGATGCACCTCTGCGCCGAGCTTCATGCTGAACAACAGGAGATGGATCCGTTTGAAGAAAGACAACCAAGAAACAAGCAGCAACCGTTAGTCTTCTATGCTCAACGAAGAAACGACAATTACAATCGATGTGACAGGCAGAATCGACACGACACCAAAGGACTCACCATCGTGCTGCCGTTCTGCCACAACTGTCAAACATCCGGACACTCCAAAGTTAACTGCACACGCCCCCGAGCTTATCGTCCTGTAGACCCACAAGTCGCTTCCACTCAAGAAAGTCCGCCAAGGCGTTCCTCCACATTTGCACAGGGCACCCGAACATCATCAATTGCATGGTACACATCGACAACTGCGCACCAGAATCACCACCGACTTACGCTCCAGACGAAGAAGAACTGCCGCCACCGCACTCACAAGGCCTTCAGGTCAACCCGACGTACGCTGCAGTCGCCAACGCCGAACCCACCGGGTGAAACACCTGGTTCTTGGACAGTTGCTGCGGCCAACACATGTGTTCTTCCGGACGCTTCGTGCAACGAGAGCGACGCCTCAACCGCGATGTCATCATCACCGTCGCCAACAATGAGAACCTGAAAACAAACAAACAAGGAGTGGTTCAACTTCAGTCCATGGAGACAAACGTCATATTGCAACTCAACAAGGTTCTAATCGTTGACAACTTGGGATACAATCTACTAAGCGTCAGCCAGTTAATGGCAAAGAGGATTCACCTGGAATGCGACTCGGACTCCAACGAATTTCGTCTTTACCACGGGAAGGGCGGCCTCTTCATCGGTCGCGCTCTCCTGAAGTCGGGTGTCTTCGTGTTGGATTTCTTCCCCGACCGCGGTACTGCCGACAGCGATGGCATCGTGTCGTTCGCCGCCTGGACGCACCCGCCGGATCTTGACCCCGACTTTACCCCAGATGGATTCTGGTACTCTAACACCATATCGGCAGCAGAGAGAACACGAGCGTTAGCAGTCATCCGACAAGAAAGACAAGCACCAGCAAGCGTTCTTTCCCCGACATCACCTGCAATAGCAGCAGCAGAACCCAGCCATGTTCCATCACCAGCAATCTGAGGACTGCCAACCGAAGCAGATCAACTTATGCCCATCACCCGAGAAGTCTGCCGAAGTCCCGCCACGGTCGTCGCATTCTTCTCCAACGCCGACATGTACCAGCGCTCACCCGGCCATCGCGCTCCCGACGACATCTGGCATCAACGTCTCGGGCATCCTGCAAATAGCACAATGTTACAAACCATACAAGCAGAAGTGTTAGAAAGAAACGCCCTTCTCACAACGAACGGCCAAGAACTTCGACGACCCCGTGCACGATGCTTCACGTGCCCCGAAGCTGACCTTCCCCACCAACCTTTCCCGTCGCACTACAATCCAAGCGCACCTGCATACGCACCGATGGAAAAGGTTTACAGCGACATCTTAAATATGCCTCGAGATGACAGTGAAGCAGACTACAACTATGTCATCACGTTCATCGACGCAGCAACACAATACGTCTGGCACTACAACCTCAAGACACGTGATCAAGCATTCGAAGCCTTCACGACATGGCTCCCCATCGCCGAACGTGAATCAGGTTCTCAACTCAAGAGCTTTCAGTCAGACAGGGCACTGGAGTACCAGTCACAAACGTTCAGGAACTATCTCGCAGAAAGGAGCATCAGACGCCTGGTGTCCCTGCCCTACACTCACCAACAGCAGGGGGTCGTAGAGAGGATGAACCGGACCTTGCAGACAACGATGCGAAAACTGCTCCTGGGGATGAGACTGCCCAACACACTGTGGCCAGACGCGATGACGCATGCAGTCCACCTGCACAACTTCCTGTCCTCGTCATCACTTCCCAACAACGCATCACCGCACCTGCTGCGGACACAAAAAAGGGGCAGCACAAAACTACTTCGAGTCTTTGGCTGCATGGTACAGTACAGACCCCACACAGCTCGAGCAAGACGATTCTCTCAACGAGCACGGTGGGGACTACACCTCAGGATTGCAAAACATTTCCAAGCATGGAAACTCCTCGACATACAAGACAAAAATACAGTGGCCTCACGTGATGTGATTTTCTACGACTGACGCTGCAGCATTACCTGGACAATGTCGCCAACGCAGAGGACCCCACCGACGGCTTCGAAGGCCTTCGGTCCTTTGCCGACCGGGCTGCCGAAGCTGACGCAGCAGAAGAAGATGTACCTGAAGCTCCGGAAACTGCCGGACCACTCCCTTACTGCTCCATGCCTGTTCCCCTCGACGACGACAATCCTCTCGCTAGTAACAACCTCGACACCTATTACCACTTCGCTGACCAAGGTTACGTTACACCTCAACCAATCGACACGAATGTCTCAGAACGCATCGGATCAAATTTCTTACCTGATCCAGAAGATGGTGACAAAGCAGCTTATCCCGGGAATGAAAATTCCCCTCGACACACACCCACGGGCCTGCAGATCCTTGGACTTTGGGTCGCCGTCCAGAGCCCGCCGCCGCCGTCTCCGCGCGAGCGACTCTGTCGCAGGCTCTGGGGGGGGAACACAAGGCGAAACGGAAGTAAGCAATGGAAAAAGAACTGAAGGCCCTGCAAGACCGAAACCCATGGAAGCTGGTACCTGCAACAAAAACCAACGGGAAAAACGTGCTCTCGGGAAAATGGGTGTACCGCATCAAGACTAATGCGGACGGCTCCATCGAATGATTCAAGGCTTGCTGGGTCGTACGAGGATTCGATACGGAACCGACTACACAGAGACATTCGCCCCAGTCTCTCGTCACACCTCCTTGCGCATTCTACTCGTCGTCGCAGCCACGAAGAAACTACCACTGCGCCAGATCGACGTTGCAGACGCCTTCCTGTACGCATCTGTGGACGCCGAGATCTTCGTCGAGCAGCCCCACGGATTCATCGACGATCCCACAAAAGTATGCCAGCTGATAAAATCCCTCTACGGGATCAAACAAGCCGCGCGGCTTTGGCAGCAGCATCTTCACGGCCGCCTCGTCAGGGTCGGCTTCCTACAGCTGCCGCACGACCAAGATGCGTACCGACTACAGAAGGAAGGGGGTT